GGGCACAGGTGGGCTGGGCTGGGCTGGGCTGGGGTTGCTTTCCCCCGGTGCCCCTGGGGGCTGCGGGGCCTCGAGGGGTCGGTGCAGCCAGGGGCGGCTCGGTGCGAGGAGCGCAGGCCTGAGCCGAAGGGCAGCTCCTGTGTAGCGACAGAGAGAGACAGACGGCTAGAGATGCACGCGCTTGTGCACCTGTACCGGTGTAGAGACATACATGTGCACTTGTGTGTGTATAGGTACATAGAGATATAGATGTATATACCTAGTATGTCTGCACGCACGCAGTCGTGTGTGTACAGCTATATAGAAAGATACGTGCACTTGTATACATATAGCTTTGTAGAGATATACAGGTGTATACCTAGCACGTGTGTCTGCACACGTGCATTTGTATGTGTGTAGCTATGTGGAGAAAAGAGATGCGTGTGTATATAATCTATGTGCACTTGTATATGTACACTTGCATAGAGAAATGTATATATATGTGCATGCGCATCCAATTTTTGTATGTATCGCTATGTAAAGATATAGGAGATAAATCTATATGTGTATACATAATATACATGCAATTGTATACATATAGCAATGAAGTGAGAGACGTGTGTGTAGTGTGTGTGCGTGCGTGTGCACACGTGTGTGAAGTATAGCTGTATAGATGTACAGAGATTTGGATGTATCTATATCTGTGCACCTGCACGTATTGTTGGGGGTGCGGTCTCAGGAAATAGGAAAGATATAGATTGGTCCATACGTGTGTGTGTGAGCTGTGTGTGCGCTGTGTACGTGCATACGTGGGCTTGGGGAGTCTCAGGAAAGAAGGGCGTTTATAGACTGCTCTGTACGGGGGGGTGTAGAAGCTGGAGGGGTTTCAGGAAACGGGGATATATCGGCTTGTGTGTGTGTATGTGACCATATGCATGTGTGTGTGTATGGGGGGGGGTCTTAGGAAAGGAGATATTTAGACTGGTTTATGTTTGCGTGTGTATTAGATGGACTGGGGGTCTTGGAAAAAAGACTATACAGACTGGTTTGTGTGTGTATGAACTGGGGGGGGCTAGGGAAAGGAGGAACACGGGATAATCTTTATGCATGTGTATGGGCTGGGGGTGGGGGTCTTAGGAAAGGGGATATAAAGACTGCATGTATGTCCTGGACACCTGGGTTCTTGGGGAAAGGGAGGGGTTGAATGGACTGGTCTATATGTGAACATATAGACTGGGGTGGGGACCATATGGAATAAACAACAGGGGCCTGGCTGCCGGGGTGGTGGTGGGGGTGGAAAGAGATCATGGGGTGTGGGGGATATATGGACCAGTCTATACCCCCGGGTGTCTGTGTGGACTGGCAGGGTCTTGGGGCCAATTTCAGGGAGTCCGTGCTGTGCTGAGCAGACAGCTCTGAGGTGCAGGGCTGGGTATAATACCTGGCACTGTGCTCCCCCCACCCCTCCATGGGCCCTCCTAGCCCTTCTCTATGGTTCTGGCCTCCGTGTAATCCAGCCTGGTGCAGAACCCAGACCCCGAAGAGAAACCCCCCCAACAGGGTCTTGGTGTGGAGACTCAAGCCATAGCCCCCAAATCTGAGACCTTGCCGCTTCCCTCATTTCCTAGGTTACAAATGGCATCAAGTACTTCCTGGACGTGACCCTGCTGCGGGGACCGTGTGACCTGGTCTCCTGCGGGGAGCTGGAGCAGGTGGTAAGGAGTGGGCAGCGGGCTGGGGGTAGCATTTCTCTGTGGGGCAGGAGGCTCAGAGAACCATTGACTTGCTCTTCACCCTGGAATCCAAGGTGCCCAGGTCCTTATGGCTTCCCTCTGCCATGTGTCCTAGTCCCTGTACTGCAGGCACTGGGCAGAGATGGTCCTCTGAGTGGGAGTGGAGAGATCCCAGGCTTAGCTTGGTGGCACTGGGAGCCCCCATCCCCACCCCGAAAGCCTCATGCTAGCACGTTTGCCCTCAGAGCGTGCTGGAAGATGAGCTGGCTGTGACCCCAAGCCAGGACTGGGGCTTTCCCTTGTGAGCTCAAGGAGAGCTGCCACTGAGTGCCCAACATATGGGGTCTGGCACATGGTGGCTCAGTTGGGATTTGGGTCACAAGGCAGTGGTGTGTGTGTGTGTGTGTGTGTGGGGGGGGGGTTCATGGAGAGGAAGCAGAGCTTAGGTCCTGGTGGCTGCATCTGAAAGCAGAGGGTGCGGTGAGCCCCACTGAAGCTTCCCCATGGTGCCCCCGTGACCTGGCCCTGGCCCAAGTTGGGATCTCCTGACCAGCTTCCCCTGGATCAGCTGAGTCGCTTGTGATCACTCAGCCAGTCAACCGGCAGGGAGGGGGAGGCGGAGGCGGACTAATCTCCCTGCCCCCTTCAGCAACCAGTTGAGGCATGTGACCAGCTTCCCCACCCCCTGGCAGGGCTCAGAGATGTTTTGCCCATCTCTGAGCCCTGCCAGGCTCATCATTTTCACATGAGCGTTGAAAGCCAGATTTTGGAATTCAGGTGTCTCCCAGCACCCCCTGCTCTCATCCTCTCCCCCTCATGGAGCTGCAGAGAACCTAGACATCTGGGCTCCCATCCCGTCTGCTCTTAAGCTCCTCCTAAAGCTAGGGATGGAACCCAGGTATCCAGGATTCCCCCCGCCTTCCCAGACCTGGGGAAGACCGAAGACCCCAGGTGTCCGGGCTGCCAGCCCCTCCTGTTCTCGCCCCTCCTAGAGCTTCCGATAGCACCCGGGCATCCCTCCCCCGCTTCAAACCCTGCTCAGGACTCCAGAGATAACTCGGGAGTCCAGGCCTTGTCATCTACACGTGACTCAGGCCTGCTTGTTCTCTCCCTTCTCCCCCAGTCCTGCCAGTTTGAGGTCTGGAGCCAGCCCTGGGCCAGCCGGCAACGGCTGATGAAGCAGGAGTGTCGCCCAGCAGGTAGGTCCAGCTTGACTGGTCACCCCAACCACCCCCTCTTCCTGGGCAGGGCGGATCCAGAAAGCCCTGTACCATTTCCGCCCAGCCCCACCCACCTGGGGCCTTTAAGTTGGTGTGTTCCACCCCTGAAGTGGGCGCGTTTCTGGACCAGCCCATCTTGTTCCAGCCTGACAGGGTTGGTTATGGTTCAGAAATACACCTAGAGGAAGCCAGCCAGAAAGGAAGTGACCTCACAGGCTGGGCTGGTTGTGGGTTTTAATGTGTGGCTGTAATGGTGATATTGGTCCAGCCCCCACGGGTTATGCTGGTTTTAGGTGCCTTTGGCATGTATCGAACTCATAGCCCCTGCTTCTCTCTCCCCTGCCAGAGAGAACCCAAGTGTCCAGCTGTGCCTGACAGTCCTTTTTGCCAGTCCCTGCTCTGGTTGTCACACAGGGCCCTGGTTTATTTCAAGGTGGTTTGTTAGGTGCTCCGAGTTGCCAGACTTAATGGGGCTGAGTTTAGGCTGGGGGTGGAAGGGGGTTGTCACTTGAAACCAACCGTAATGAGGTGCTGACAGCTGAGGGAGCTGCTCTCAATCCAATTAGCTAGAAATCAGGGTATTTTAATATGGAAATCAGCTGTGTTCACATATTCAAATGATGTGCATCTTAATGAGGTGGCTACTGGCAAGACCAGGCTGGGAGCCTCAAGGAAACCAGCCTTAATGAGGAGCTGACAGCTGCGGGGGCTTCGGTCATGGTAGTTAGCCTGAGAGGGGTGCATTTGAATATGGAAATAGGTTGACTTTGCACATTGAAATAGATGCCTCTCTCCATGTCTCCAGAGCTGGCAGAGAGAGTCCAGGAGCCGGCCCAGACCCTGGGGGGGCTGGACGAGACCCCAGGCGGGGTGAGCGATGCTGAGGGACCTTCTCAGGTAAGTCACCAGAGTGGGGAGAAAACCCAGGTGTCCGGGTTCCCAGCTGCCCCTGCTCCTCTCCTTCCCCGCTCCCTCATTCCAAGAGACCTATATCCCCCACCACCAGCAACGTGCCCCCATAGAGTGGGAAGGGGGGGCAGGATCGGGGGGAGGGGGTTGAATTTGGTTGGGGGGGGGAGGGGGGGGACTGTGGAGGTCCCTCCAGCCTGGCAGACCTCTGAGTCACCCGTTTCCTTCCCCAGCCGGGCCAGAATGCATCACTCCAGCTAGCAGCCCTCTTCAGGGACTTCATGAGCACCTACGGGAAACACTACAAGGATGAGGAAGGTGGGGGAGCCCCTTCCCAGAATCCTTTGTGGCCACCTCTTTTGCCTTTCCCAGAATCCTTTGCACTAGATCCCACCAAGCCCCAGCTTCTTTCCTCTCTCCTTCCCACAGTCCTTTGCTCGTGGCTCCTTCCATCCTTCCTGCTTCTCCCTTCATCCTTCCCAGAATTCTTTGTAGCAGCTGCCCTCTGCCTTCCTCCCTTTCTCTGTCCCAGAAACCTTCATGAGTGGTGCCCACTGCTCATGTGGCTGGTCCCTGCCCCTTTCCCAGAGTCCTTTGCCCCCTGCAATGACACCTGATCATCTCTACTCTTCTTGGACCTCTGCACCGATCCTTTGCCCCCTCCAGTGTCCTGTGACCCTTGTGCTGACCCCTCACCTCCGACCTCTTCCCGCAGTCCTTTGACCTCCATGCTGACCCCTGACCACTTCCTGGGTCCTATGCCCCCCACGCTGACTCCTGCGCCTGCCCCCCC